TTTCTCTGCAATGTTCTGCATTGTTGGTTTTTTTGAGCTCCTCCTGGTTTTTGCTTGTAGCATCCTGTAATTCATTAAGTTTGTCTTTCATCCATTGAATATATTCAATCACTCCTCTTTTAAATTCTGTGTCAGAAAGTTCCATCAGACTTTTTGGCTTCAGGAAATCCACTGATACTGTGTCACCCTCTGGGGTTGACATCTTTCTTTGCTCTTGTGTATTGTGTGGGATAGCTTGCTTCATTTGAGACATTGATATGTTCTTGATCTGAAGACAATGCTCTAGAGATCAGTTGGGCAGCTACCTCACTTGTTTGATTCTCTGAACTTCTGACTTCAGAGTAATGTCAGTTTAGAGCCTGTGAGGGCAATCTCTTGTTGGAAAGACAGGTTAAGGTGCTCCCGATTAAAGGCAAGTGGATTGCCCAATGTGTAGGCACCGGTGTGTAGCCAAATGGGGTGAGGCAGGCACAGGGTTGAGGTGATCACAAGGGCAGGTAAAACACTTGGGGGACCTCGCTCAAACCTCAGCTGTATGAGTGTGCTCACAATTGGGGTCACTACTCAAAAGTCTGCCATTTTCTTAAAAAGGTAAAATACAAATTTTGTTTTTCAGGACTTTTTGAAAGAGTACTCCCAGGAATTTTTCTAATAAGCAGCAGCTGTTACCAGAGTTCCATTTACTTCTTCATGATGTTTCTCTTAGCTAAAACTGCAGTAAGTTATCTTCAAGTTTGAAGCATAAAGGAAATAATGGTAAGACAAAGCCACCAGAAACGTGTACTTGATTTCCATGACAAATATTGTAATGCTGTCTTAGTTAGTGGAGTTACTTTCTGTGTTGCTATATGGGCTTATACAACAATACAATTTGGGATAGAATGGAACTTGTCCCCTGTTGGCAGAGTCACCCCAATAAAATGCAGAGATTAATAAGCAAATCAACTAGTGATATAATACTGAAATATTTCAAAACCAACTTATAATTGATGTCATGTAAAAGCACTGTGTACTCATTGAAATATGGCATTATTGAAGAAATAAAGTACATTTGAAACCCCCCCCCAAAAGGCAAAATACAAATACCATAGGACCCAGCTATTGCACTAGTAGGAATATACCCTAAACAAATCAGAGTTGAGGTGCAAATGGAGATAGGTATACCTTTCATCATAGCATTATTCACAATAGCAAAAAAATGAAAACAGCTCAAACACCCATCAACAAATGAACAGAGAAATTATGGTAGTTCACACAATGCAGCACTAAAGAACAATGAAGAATTCATAAACTACTACACAACACAAGCCAGTCTAGAAGACATTATGCTGAGTTAAATAATTCAGTCATGAAAGGACAAATATTATATAAGGTTACAACTGCGAAAATAGGAGGGTATTTCCGGGGGGGGGGAATAAGAGAGCAGAAATGGAATGTATAGACAGGGACTACTGTAAGGATAATATGGCTACAGCAATTAGCAAATATGAATAACATAGCTTCACAAAGGGAAAGAAAATAGACAAAAGAAAGGAGATAGGAGGAGAACCCATAGGGCAGCAGAGATTAGTGGAAGTGTGGGGTGTGCAGGTAAAAGAAAAGTCAAGGTGCAATGGGAACTCGATGAGATGGGGTGATAAAAAGATATTGATAAAAAAAAGAGACACTGATCAACAGTAAATAACTATATAAAATGTAATATATATATAAATAATTGTATAAAATATAATGTATAGTAGGGAAAACAAGATAAAATAGTGATTATCCCTGAGGAAGATGAAGGGAATGATGAAAAAGGCATAATGAAGCTTCTGAGAAGTCAGTATGTTCTTGACCCAGGGAGAGCACATTAATTCAACTGCGTCCTTCACTTGTGTGGACTGAAAATTAACTAGCAAGCAATGACTAATGTAATAGAGTCTATCAACCAACAGATAAAGAACATCAATATTTTTTGAAGCTGAATATGGTTCTCTCTGGAGACTTACAGAGATAGACAGAGGAAAGGTGGTTGACTGCTATTTCTTTTAAGGCTTGTAATATACTTTCCCCCTAGTGTGCATGTTGTTAGTTACTGATGAGTAGATTACAATTCATAGTGTCCTGGCTGCATAGTGATTAAGTCCTCGGCTGCCAACTGAGAGGCTGGCAGTTCTAACTTACCCAGTGGTTCTTCAGGAGAAAGGCTTGGGATTTGCTCATGTAAAGACCACAGCCTTTAGGAAACACCACGGCAGTGCTGCTCTGTCATATGGAGTAACTACTACTACAGTAGTACAGTTACTTCAGAAGTAGCATTAATTACTACAGTGCTACTGAGATATGACACAAATATTTTGATAAAAAAAATAAATTTAAGCCCTCCCTCAAATAATCTAATCAAACAATAAAGGGCATAAAATGAGATTTTATGAAGATTTTAAGGTTCTAGTGCCTTGAAAAAGCTACATCAATGGCTTAAAAATTTTCTTTTTTACAATAGTCCTTATGTTGAATTCATTTGTCTTGAAACAAAACTGGCACAGACCTGAGGATTCTATAGATATCAAGCAGTTCAACCTGTTCTTGTAACGTCAGAATTCCCTCTACTTCTTGGGAGTATTTCCAGCAGCACTAGTAGTGCATCATATAGGTTCCACGTTGTTGTTTTTGTAGAATACCAACGAGTCAGAACCGAACCACAGCTGACCCTCCAGCAGGTTTTCAGAGGCAGTTATTGCACAAGAGGAGATTGGCCATCCTTCTCCCACCCCCCCTAGTATCATTCAAAGATGACAGTATTCCACCAAATATTATGAAAAATTCAAGAACAACAAGAAGCCACCTTTTACTGTGGTATAAAATTTACTGGTATACAAAATCTACTGAAGAGACAAACTGCTTATGTGAAGATGGTTAGTGCTGGTGGTGTTTATAAATAAATCTTCCTGTAAGTGTGCCCACATAGTTCAAACCCATATTGTTCAAAGGTCAAATGTATGTATTTTAAAAATGTTACTGTCTGGATTGACAGGCCCTAGCTCCCAGCTGGAAACAAAGGAGGACACTTCAATGATTTCGATCCTCCCAGAAGAGCCGTGGATGAGCATTAACATTACTGGTAAGTATATTCATTTT